TCTAAACCTCTCTCTCGGATCTCTCTGTCTATTCCTTCTCTCCAGCTCTTTCTGGTCGGACCTCTTCTTCACTTTTCATGTGGTGACCAATCTATAATCTGTTTGGGCAGACGATGTTCTGGTATTCTCTTCACATGTCTATACCACTTTAGTTGTTGTACTCTTATATCTCGACAATCGTATGTGTGACTCCCATAACCTCTCGTATACGTTCGTTATTAATTCTTTCGAGTTTTGATTTTTCCTGCGGTCTGTCTCCAGTAGTCCATCTCCTCCTCCTTGTAGTGTTCTTTCAGTAGTTGCCTTTAACGGCCACACGTCACTTCCATACATTACTATGCTCTTTATAATAGTGTTGTATATTCGATGTTTATTTTTTTTGGATATATGTTGATCCCAGATAATACTATTTAGTTGAGATATGGCCCTTCTACCCTGAGTGTTTCGTTTTTTTATAGCCTGATCTGATTTGCCGTCGTCTGTGATTTCTACTCCTAAATAGGAATATTTATTGTTGTACTTAATGTGTTGTCCGTCGTTTAAAACTAGATTTTGTTCTTTACCACCGATGTTCATGTACATTGTTTTATCTATGTTGACTTCCAATCCCCATTTTTTGTATTCTTCGATTAATTTTCGAGTCATGTATCCATCTCAACTGACTTCTTGCAAACGTCCTAATACTAATTTGTGTCGTACACACTGTTTGGGTTTGTAAATGTTACTCTTTCAAATATTTCTGTTGGTCGTAGCATTTTTGGACTAGAACTAGTAAACTGAACAGGGCTTCTCTCGTTACCATGTCAGCTCTGAATGAAACCGATCGTCTCCAGTGATTGTTTCGCACTTTCTATAGAATCGGTTATGTACAACTTTTAATATGACTTTTACTGCATGAGTCATAGGGCTTATCAGATTGAACTTTGGAACAGACGGCTTTTTTGGTAGTGACATGAATGTTGATTCTAGCCAATCTTGGAGCATTCTCCTGTTTCAATAATGCCATATAATAAAAGCCCAAATATATCGATGTGTTCTTTGCTAATTCATTTTAACGTCTTTGGTCATATTCCATTTAGACCTGGGTTTTTATTTTAAATAAGACTATAAAAATTATAATTATAATTATAATTTTTCAGAATTTCTGATCCTTTGTTTTTGCTGTTTAATCTTCTTGACTCTTCTCGTATGCCATTAAAAAGTATTTTGAATAGTTTTTCAATTATTTCAGTTTATCTTATCATTGTTATCTTTGTTACGCATGATGTGCAAGGTTGTTCTCTTATTGGTCGATGTGAACTCCTTTACATTTTTATGTGGATTAAAAAAATCGTGCCTTTGTAGCAGTTCTTCTATTTCGACTCATTTTAATTTCTGCTGTTTCTCTTTACCTTGGTTAATTTTTTTAATAATTCTTAGTCTTTTATATTCATCGTCTTTGTCATCTGTTTCTTTTAATTATTTTCGTTCGTCACTTAATTGTAAAAGTTTTTCTGTTATCTATTCCTGTTTGTTATTTCTGGCTGTTGCCTTAGATGCTTTTCTATTACGCTTCAATAGTTTTTCCATAGGACGTTAACGTGCATCGGACTTGGTAATTCTATAACCCATTCTCTGATTGATTAAAGCTATGATTCTTCTCGGTGATAAATATTTCCAAAATTTTTGTTTTTAATTATTTATGTATTGTCTGTTGTAGGGTGTCGTTTATCAATAATTGGATGTCTAGTTTGTCTCGAGGTTTTTGTTTCTTTATTAATATCCATCTTGCGCGTACTTTTACAACAACTAGACTATGATTGGAATTGATGTTAGTTCCTGGATATTGTTTAATGATAGCGTTGTGATATCTTTTATTGACTAATATATTATAATTTATTTGGTTACGAATTACACTACTATAATTATGTTGTGGGAAGTCCAGGTCTATAATCTACGAGGATGTAATTTAAGACGTTTATTGGTTGCTACCATGTTGTGTTGTTGGTAGAATTCTGTCATTCTCTCCCTTGTCATTCTCTCTTCTTTGACACCCTTGTCTAATATTACGTAGCCATGAAAGTTTCTTTCGACCAATCCATCTTTTTTCTTCCACTTTTCCTTGTATTATAAGGCGAAGTAGATGGTATTTAGGTCCTCTAATTATATGCCGAAGTATTCTGTTTTTCTCCTCTTTATGGTGTTTATGAGCAGACGTTCTGAATTGATCATTTAAAGAACATCTTCATTGGAAGTGTGCGAAACCCACGATATCTTTAGGATTCGTCTATAGCACCACAATTCGAATGCTTTAACTTGTTTTAGCATTGTGGTTTTTAACGTCAATGTCTCACAACTATACAATAGATGGACCACATATAACATTTCAGGACCTTCTTACGAATATTCATCGCCAGGTTTCTGTTTCATAAAATTGGTATCTAGCGTCATAAAAGCCTTACGTGATATTTCGATCCTGGTTATTATCTCTTCATCAGAGTCATAATTTCACATTTAACCAGCTGCCAAGGTATTTGAAATGATTTACCCTTTCGATCTCCTCTCCATTAAGAGAAATCAGACCTTGATCTATATTGATCTTTCCAACTGCCATCCACTTTGTCTTTGAAATGTTGATTTTAAGGCCTCTCCGATAACTTGCTTCACCTACTAGATTTAGTAATGTTTGGAGATCTTGTAAATTTTCTGCAAGAATGGCTGTATCGTCAGCGTATCTAATATTGTTGATTACTTCTCCACCTAGTCTTACTCCCATTTGTCTGTCATCCAAAACCTCACTAAAGATTTCTTCAGAGTACAGATTAAAAAAAAGGGTGACAAAACACAACCCTGCCGTACTCCACGTTCGATGGATATTTTTTCAGTCTCCAATTTGGATAGAGGTACTTGATTTTAATATAAGTATTTCAGCAGTCTTATATCATAGTGGTCAAGTCCTGCTGCCCGTAGGCAATCGAAAAGTGTATCGTGTTGTACTCTGTCGGATGCCTTCTCGAAGTCGATGAAACAAACATAAACATTCTTTTGGAATTCACAACTTTTTTGTAATAGAACGCGCATACAGAATAGTGCCTTTCTAGTTCCTAGACCGTTTCTAAATCCAAATTGCTTATTACCCATCCTACTTTCGCATAGAAGGAATACTCGGTTTTGTATAATTCGTAAGAGTATCTTCAGTGTGTGACTTAAACCGATTAGTCTAAAATCGCTGCATTTGGGTGGCCTGCTTTTCTTTGGTAATGTTATAAACAGTGACTCTAACCAATCATCTGGCATTTTTCGTTCGTTGTAAATTTTGTTAAAGAAGGCGGTTAAGCAGGCAATGCTTTCCTCATCCAAAAGTTTAAGTAGCTCAGCAGGGATTTGATCTGGTCCAGGTGCTTATTGTTTTTGGCTTGCTGTATTGCCTTTTTGACTTCCGAATTCAGTATACTGGGACCTCTGTCTAACTGGTTGTCACAGGCAGTATTTGGAGCATTTTCTCTAGAAGCATCGTCAAAAAGGTCAGTGATGTATCTCTCCCATTTCTTCAATATTCTGCTCACCTGCGTCAGTAGTGGGAGCATAAACTTGGATGATATTTATATTTACAGGTTTAGCATTCAGCTGTATTAAAATTACTCTTGTCTTATATTGGGATGAAGTTAGTGACATACTTATTAATATGCTGTTTGATAATTATTGCTACTCCATTTCGATGCATATGGTCTTGATTTCCAGAAAAAAAAACTACGTAACCATTTGCAGTGAAATTCCCTTTGTTTGGCCATCTTGTCTCGCTCGCCCCCATGATAGTAATGTTTAGTCTGTCCATTTCAGAGAGTAAATCTCTCAACTTACCGGCTTCATATAAAGTTGTTACATTCCATGTAGCCACTTTATATGAATTCTTCATTTTAATCGTATGTCTAGTGATGTTCTGCTCACAGAGATTTCGCTGGCTAGCGACCTGACAAGCCCTGTGGTTTGATTGTGTATTCCTTCCCCTGCCGGATCTTGAGTTCCGCAGCCCATGATCAGTAATATTCGTTACACTCATTGATTCCATGATAACTTTACTAGGGATCATATTGGGGGTGGTTTCCCGTTGCCTTCCCCATCGCAGTATCACAGCCGCTTAACTCATAATGTGAGTGACGCCTGTGAGTATCTGGAATTAAGCCTACAGGATTTTTACTTCCCACAGCCTTTTGGGGATATTTGGGCACATACTTAGAAATGATAAGTAAGAGTAGTTGCAGCTGGTTATGAAGGGTAAAAAATTTAAGGAAAAAGTGGTCCTCGTAGACAACAAATAATCTGACTGAAAAACATTCACGACTGGGCCGGATTAAACACACCGATGTTTGTAAGAAAAGCAGAAGATAGCACCGAATTTGCAATTGTCTGCCTCTTATTCTATTTCAGTAGTTGTTGACTGTACATTATCTTTCCACCTTTTTGGCGGCCTTCCAACGGGTCTTCTGCTATACGGTTTGTTGTTTTTACAGTTTTTACAGATGTTTACTAATTTATCTGATTTTAATCTATCTGGTTATAACCAACCTTCATTAGTAAATTGGGTACTAAAAGAAGAAGAAGTTCATGGTTTCAACTGTACGTGAACCTGGCCATCTTATTCGCTCATAACTAATATCTGTATTCTTAAAGGTTTCATCTCGTGGCATGCGTTTACGATTTTTCTCTTTCGAACAGACTTTCAACGTTCCATGTTCCCTATTCACCTGGAGGTGCTCGATGGAGGTCTAGCAACCCCACATATTTGTAGGATAAGATATGATTAGTTTCCAGGATATTGTATTAGATAAGCTAAGATATAAAGTAGATTGGAAACAGATTATATATTCTTTAGTTTCGATTGTGTGGAGTAAATCGTTATGGTCTATTTTTAAATACCGTTTTTGTTTAATTATCCTTAGTAAAATCCAATCGATAGTGTTTATAATTTTGTTTAATAATATAGATCATATATACTATTAATGTTTGTCTTTTATTTTAAGAAATTCTACCGATGGCAAGGGTATTTTCAAACCTGAAAGTGGAGAAGACGAACGGGAATCCTGGGACAGCAAGCTGACGTTCTTACTGGCTACTATCGGTTACGCTGTCGGACTGGGAAATGTTTGGAGGTTTCCTTACTTAGCTCAAAAGAATGGCGGCGGTGCTTTCCTAATACCATACTTTGTTATGCTAGCAATAGAAGGAATACCAATCTTCTATTTGGAACTTGCAATCGGACAAAGACTTCGAAAAGGCGCTATTGGAGTGTGGAACCAGGTATCGCCATTTTTATCAGGTAAATATGTATTTGTAAAAATAGTTATCAAATTTTTTTAGCATGAGTGTAGGTTAGGAGTCATAATAGTTATAAAAGAATAGACTATTATTATTGGACGTAACGATATACCAGAAAGAAAACAAATGAATGAAAATAATTACCAGAAGATTTGATCCGGTTTTTAGTTAAGATTAATTCTGCCACCATAAGCAACATAATAAGAATGTGTGCGTGTGCAGATGGCACACGAAGAAGAAGAAATAGTCAGCATAATAAGAATAATGTGAAGAAAGGCTGCTTAGCTATGTAGTTGGGTGAATACATGAAAAATATATACTACTAGACTTCGAAAGCATGATATAAGTAGTATATAGTCATTTTTTGAAAATCGTTTATAAAAATGGACCATGCAACGAATATATAGATCGCACACAAATCCCATTTCTTATTTCAGTAAGAACAAATAAACCAAAAGTATTCTGTGTATACTAGACTGTGTGTACTAGATCAGATTTAATTAAATAGTTGTGATCTAAGGAATGTAATTAATACGTATTGTAATCAAATAGTATCCGTATGTATCCATCGAGAAAAATCGATATACATCGATAAATATACAACAATACAAGCAGTGGGCAAGAAATGCCTAATCAAATCAAACAATAAAAACATAAACCAAATGTAGATGATACAAGAGATATCAAAGTTGATGGAGTAAAGGCGGGAATTAAAAACACATTAGCCGAAGTATAACAAGAGAAACGTCAAAAGAAGACTAAAAGATGCCACAGAATTATGTATTAAAATCAATGTGAAGAAATAGAAAATCATAACAGAAAATATAAAAGCTTCAGTATATAAAAAAAGATAACCAGGTATCAGAGAATTGGAAGAAGAGCAAAATCGGTATATTTAAGGACAGAGATAAAAAGATAATTATTTTTTGGTAATAGAAAACAACCTTCCGCAAATAAAAAGTGAAACCGTACCTGATATATTTAAAAGAGCAATAAAAACGCATAAAAAAAAATGCTAAAAGTGAGAAAGCAAACGTGGCCCGACAAAATCTCTACAGAACTATTGAAACTCATGAACGACAACTCTATTATAATAGTATTACATGTGTTAAGCACCATATACAATACTGGTATTATCCCTCAAGAATAGATGTTACCCACATTTATTACAGTATGGATACGGATAGATTAAGTTTCAGACGTAACACGATTAACACGGGGAGTAAGACAGGGATGTAATAATAAAGTAATCTTCTGCTTACGGTGCCCTATCCAATTAGTGGATGTTGGCGACAATTCTTGAATACTCCTCTCGATCTTGTGTGGCTCTAAAAAGTGCATGGGCATCGAGATTTGTCCAATCCCTTATGTTTTTAAGCCATAAGTATTTCTTTCTTCCGATGCCTCGTTTTCCTTCTGTCTTCCCTTCCATAATAAGCTTTAAGAACTGGTACTTGGAATTTCGAAATATATGACCCAGATAAGCAGTTTTTCTTCCTTTTATTATTGGCAGCAATTCTCGTTCTCTGCCCATTCGATTTAATACTTCGACATTTGTTGTGTGATCTATCCAGGGAATTTTAAGTAGTCTTCTAAACACCCACATTTCAAAGGCCACCAATCGGTTCATCACATTGGCCTTTATGGTCCAAGTTTCTACACCATATAGCAGTATGGAGTAAATGTAACATTTTACAAAGCGATATCGAAGCATTAAGTTGAGGCCGCTGTTGCTTAGCAAGGTTCTCATATTAGTAAATGCTGTTTTGGCTTGATCAATCCTGCTACGTATATCTATGTCTGGATCTAGATCTTCAGTTATCCAACTACCGAGATATCTGAACTTGGGGACCTTTTGGATGTTCTTGTTGTTTACTCTTATATTCAATTGCATATTTCGTGTTCTACTAACCACCAGTACCTTCGTCTTGTATATATTAATCTTCAAGCCCACTCGTTCTCCTTCAGTGGTTATTCTATCTATTAGTCATTGTAGCGCTTCTTGGCTATCAGCTATTATGACTGTATCATCAGCATAGCGAAGATTACTAATAGTCTGTCCGTTGATTTTGATTCCATCTTCAGTGTCACTTAAGGCTCTATCGAAAATCGTTTCAGAGTAAAGATTAAAAAGGAGGGGTGACAGAACACAACCCTGTCGAACACTCGATTGAGAAATATGATGTAGATTCCAGTCCTACTCTCACAGATGCCACTTGATTCATATAAAGGTTCTTTATGATGTTAAGGTCATTTTCATCTAACGAACGTTTCTGGAGCAATCTTATTAATTCTGAATAATTAACACAATCGAATGCTTTCTGGTAATCTATAAAGTATGTGAAGACATCTTTTTGAACAGTTAAGGAGGACAGTAAAGCTATAAAGTGCTTCTCTTGTGCCAAATCCTTGTCTGAAATCGAACTGTGTGGGTCTAATGTCTCTTTAACATCTGTTGTATATTCTTGTGTGAATTATCTTTAAGAAGAGTTTTAGGATCTGGCTCAGAACACTTTAGGAAGGTGATAAATAACATTTAATATGCAGACTATACTGTTCTGTTGGCAAGAACAATGTGAATAGAGTATGCAACATATAAGGTATACATATTAATACCAAGAACACCAAGTAAAAATCCAAATTATTATACAAAAATTACTGTAAATAACATCCATTTTTAAACGGTGAATTATTAAAAACCTGGGACCTGTGATAACAGTAGTAAAAGATCAAAATATCGAGATTAAAATAAGTATTGAAATTGCTAAGTCCATTTTGATAACAATGAAGGAACTGTTTAATAATCGTGATATCACCTCCTACAACGTGGAAGCGTGGACTCACAAATATAATAATATGAAAATATCCTCGATATGTGGTGATATCGACGAATATTAAGAATAAGTTGGGATGACCGAGTCACAAATAAAGACGTATTAGGTCGAATGGACAAAAGGCCCAAATTTATTAGAGTGGTTTGGTTGCACCACAAACGAACTGTTTAGAAAAACTGTAAACAAAGTTCAAATAGCCTTGATCATATCCAATTTGAGATGGGAGAGGAATATAAACGAAGAAGAAACAATCTTCCAAAGAGCATTATGTGAGGTAGGCAGCGGAAGTATAGTAAATGGGAAACCAATAAACAACATAAAAACATAATATTTAAGGATTATATGTACAATAATTTTTGCAGAGAGATATTCAAAAGATTACTAGGGGAGATGTACATGGAATACGATTTAAAAGAATAACGATGTCTATTATCGCTAAAGATGGGGATGATTCTATGCAATTTAAGTGCCAAATACAGAAAGCCAGGCCATTATTTTTTAATGTCAAAACTATTTAGGTGAGACGATGTAGCTGTTTAATGCAAAAATTAGACTGTTGAGATGCTTCGTTTTTCTTGTGCTTTTGTATATTCTAGAATATTCACTAAAAGGATCAAAATATTAGGATTAAAGTAACTCAATCACATCACAAGAAATACTAAAAGTTATGCAATTAATATTAAAAGGAAATATAGATAGTAGGCGAGAGTCTGGAAGACGAATACTGGATCAATTTTGTGCAGGAAGATAAAGATTGTTGTAATTATCTCGAACACTAAAAACAAATACCTTCAGCGGGGTACCTTTCTGTATGCATTGAAGGGTGAATAGTTGAAAAACTGTTGTATCTTAAGTAAAATTTTTCGCTGAATACGAATAAATATGTCCTCATCTCAAAAGTGGTACCAATTTTTATAAGCAGTTTTGTTTTGTAAAGAAATCTTCAAATATAACAATTTTAATTTACAACTAGTCCTTTCGTAAAGAACGGCTAAAATTATATTAAAAATCCATATGTTATATATAAAAAGTTGTACATTGTACATATTTATGATGATGGACAAACAAATAAATAAAATATGGTAATAACCGAAAGTGAGTCTAAAACGAAAGAGGCGAATTAAGAAATCATAGAAAATAATACTTTAAAATTTGAAAAAAAAATACTCATCTGCAAACACGTCAAAATAGATTATGGCTCTAAAAAAGGAATAAAGATAAGGATGAAGAAAAACCATCACATTTATACCGTTGCTAAAAGTTGACGTAGATAGTAATTAATTAAATAAAAAGAATTCTAAGCAAGCATAAAAAACATATTAAATAATAACATTTCGATGACTATTGAAAATTTGTACAATAAGCTATCAATAAGAAAATACTTCACAAAAAAAGTATATGATTGATACCTGTATTTCAATACCAAGATCAAAATTGCAATCTTCAACAGCTTCCCATGCAAATTAAATGCAGCGTAAGTAAGATAAGAAACTTTTTAATATTACTCCTGAAGAGTGTTTATTTAGATAAAAACTTATTTTTTTATATTTAGGAATAGGTATCAGCAGCGCCGTGGTTTCATTCAATGTGGCTCTCTACTATAACACCATCATAGCGTGGTGTCTTTTTTACTTCGTTCAAAGCTTCCAGTCTCAGCTTCCTTGGGCAGAGTGTCCTAATGTTTATTTCCCTAATGGGTCCTATACCATAGAACCGGAGTGCGAAGTGAGTATTGTATATTTCTTTTGATTATTTTTGCAATATGAAATGCCCATTTACAAAAATATAAAAAAGTGAATAATGTTTAGAAAGGCATATGAATTTACTATCTTTAAAGGGAATTAAGCGCAATGTTGATTACAATTTATTGTTTCTGAATATAAGTATAATCATAATAATTTTCATATTAATATGAACTTATTATACAAAATACTTGCGTGCTTCGAAGAATCGGGGAATATATACTGATGCTTTTAAGTCAAGGTTTGGATAGTATGTGGGACTCCAAAAATATTAATTATTAGTACAAACTGGGTAACACATTTTCTATATTTAGTGTTGCAGCTATTGTAATATATAAAGGTTTTATTTTAATTGCCGTATTACCAGATTTTTTGAACATCTACGTCACGGAACAAGACACCCTGGCATTTTTCGGCCGAGTAGGTTACTGATCCAGAAGATCCCAGGTCAGGTAGTGCTGAATTAACTGTTAAAACCGGCTAAAACCTTAACCACCATTCCAGAGAGGTGGTCTTGTATTCAATAAACAACTACGATAAAAAACTAAAAATTTATAAATAACCATACCCATTACCGCAAATCAGAAAATGTTTTAGACGTTAGGCCATAAACTAATAAATAATATTAACCATAAATTTTAGATCTCTGGCTCAATTTTCTCCTCTGTCCTTCTGCTACTTTTTCTTCATAAGCCTAGAAATCAGACAGTGTACTTCTCTCCATTCTTTCTCCCCTATCAACATTATGTTCACAATGTTTCTTTTAACCAGTCCGAAACCCATTCAGCTCTCGAAATCTCTCCTCACATTTGCCTCTCTCTGGCAGTTACAAATGTGGGCTGGAGCGTTCGGTACCTCACAAACAGTATAGTCTGCCGAGGCAGGTTTGCCTATTTTATTTGTTAAAGTGCCATAACTACTATGTCCGGTCCGAAACTGCGTCAGGAAGTAGTCTAGTTTCCTGAACTTACATTCTCACCACGGTCTCAGATCGGGAATAAGCTCCTGCATCCACCTTGCCTTTCCGCTATTATTCGTCCATTCTCTCTGCCACTCTACTTCTTTATCTCTCATTCCTATCTATATTTACATCCATCCTCCTTGCATACACTTTACACAACAAAGCGATCGATATCACCACTCCAATGACATATAGAGCCTCATTTGAAACAGTCCTATATGCGCTAGATACCCTGAAGAGCATTCGTCTTTGAGAAGTCTCCACAAGATTAGCGTATTTTGCAGTGTTTAGTACGCTACATCACACGGGGCCAGTGTAGGTTACCACTGACTGGGAAAATGTATTAAGCACCTTTCTTTTGGTGCTACCTGGGCCCCCAATGTTTGGCATCAGCCGTATCAACGCCTCCAGATTTTGGTTGGCCTTCTCTACCGCCTTTCGGATGTGTACTCCGAACTTTAGTCCTTTTGACAACCAGACTCCCAGATACTTAATCGATTTAACCCGAGCAAAACTGTCAGAGTGACAAGATTATAATAAAATTTCAGTTAAGATTTCATATATTAAAATTTTAAGTTAAAAATGATGTATGTGAAGCGGATTTTAATTCATGAAGAAACTATAAATTGATTTTTCTAAATTTTGCCAATATAAAAATTCGAAATTCTTGCCTGTTTTCTGTCTCTTAAGAAAGCTCAAGAAGCTCTTATTAAATTTGCAATTCCAAATAATCTAACCGACAAGTTTGTATTATTTTTAAGGATTTTAGGATATAAAAAAATCTTTGTACATATGTAAGAAGGCTGATAAAGGTTCAAAAAGTAGCAAACATGCACCGAAATTTGATAAAACTATCAGCAAAAATAGTTAGTAGTTAATAGTTTTCTTGGCCGGTTGCGGCCGCTAAAACTTGTAAAGCGACCGCGACGGGGCGAGGAAATGCTAAGGAGGGTGAGCGGAACTGGGCCCGGACTTTGCACACTTGGACCCATTTCCGGCCAACCACCTATCTTATTCCATTCATTATTCCTAAGTTGATCGCCTTTTGATGACTTTTGTTCTTGACATTTGACTTTGCTTCAATCTGCCTTGTGTAGAGTGACTTTAAACTTTCCCATCGTCTTCTCTTGGACAAACATTTGTTCCTCGGCTTTTGGGCTTTTTGCTTTGCTATATAGGACTCAGGGAAGGCGGCTAAATTCTTTTTTTTACGCTAGCGCTCTTCTATATTATCGCGTCCGACAACGGGGGCGGCGTTGCCTTGTATCAGTGTCTTAAACGAAACTCCTGCTCAGAGGAGTAAACCTCGATAAAAATCCGCAACCACATGGTGTCAGGCAATCCGTGCCCAAGTGGTAAATAGCCTAGCGTCAGACCGCCGCAAACGGAGAACCTCTGCTGTATTTCAAGCCTTAGCGTGGGCAACGGCGCACTGCCTGGACGGACAATACAATTTCGTTCCTATTCGTAGGAATTATATGGACAAGTAAAGAGTAAAGTCATCAGTAAAGAGGAAAATAGGAAGGAGAAGATTATGATCTTCGGAAAAAGAGAATTTGTTGGAAGGCCTCCAGTCAGGGGTCGGGACCTGACCAAAAAGGATCCTCCAAGGGAGGCAAACTTGCAAAGAAGCTTCTCACTTGGAGAGAAAAGACCTGCGAAGGAGGAGGAAAGCTTTGACATAACGCCTATGGTAAGAGCAATAAAAAAACTTACCGGCGTTACAAATAATTTATTGAAACTAATGTCCGACCACACAAACACGAAGGTTGTGATTTAAAATGAAATAAAAAAAACTTAAGAGGGTCAGCGAAGACATGGAGGGCACTTTCAGAGAAGTTGCGCTCGGTAGCGTTGAAAAAGGAAAAAATCTAGTAAAGAAAACGGTGATAAGGTCACGATGAAGTAGACTGCAAGCGTGTTCACACAGGTGGACTTTAAAAAGTTTTCCCCCGAAAAAATTAGAGAAAGAGAGATAGAAATGATCACAAAGGTCTTAAACTCAGTGGAAAAAGGCTTTATATAGGTTTAAATAGAAATTAAATGGGAAAAAGATCACTATAACGGTTACCAAACCGGGAAGGAGAAATAAAGCAGCAGGCGACTTGGTAGTGGTTATGGAGCCTGGACTTTTTGGTGAGGTTAAAAATTTCCACGACCTGATAAAGAAAAAGCTGGAACTGGAAATATGCACTGAAGGTACATATAGATTAGGACAAATGAAATATTTCCAACTTAATACTATAACCACTGAGAACCGAGGAAGCCGTCAGACCATTTTTATGGTCCCTGTGGAAAAAGAGGAGACGGAAATGGACGGGGACAAGAGACTACTGGCAATTCTATCTAAATTGAAGGAAGACATAGAGATTATAGGGATAAGAGAGGCATCCCTAAAAGTAGTAAGCGGCTACAGAGGTAGGATCCTCAGGAAGCTCCTTGAAGTCACCTGTAGAGGTATGGACCTCCACTTCGTGCTGAAGAAGTATGAACAAGTAGAAAATATGGCGGGAATGCAGAAGGTGAACGTGAAGGGAGGCAAAAATCTTACGCCGAGTTCCTAAAACAAATAAAGGGCAGCATAGATACCCTTGCTTTTGTATAATAAAACAATGTACAATATATTGTGCGATAATTATATTGGACTAACGGAAATGAGAGAATTTATAATATATTAGTAAAGTTTCTGTCAAGTATGGCAAGCTGCCCCAAATTTTATTATTTAAATTTTTAGAGGGGTCAATAGTAGTGTAAATTTCAAATCGCGACCCAGTTCCTACTCAGCCACCATATTAATTTAAAGAGAATTATATTTTATACAATTTTGATTTGTTTGATTTTTTCTCATATAACTATGAAAATAAAAAGCACGTGGTGGTGGGTGTTTCTTTATACCTTAATACACACGACCACCACGTGGATATCTCCACTTCATGGTTTGTTCCAGTTTCACTTTTAATTATGAAAATATAGACCGCATGAAAAAAACTGCAAAACAGAAATTATAGGAAATGTAAACAATTTAAGTTCTCACCATTTTGTCAAAAAGTTTAAAACGGCCGAGCTATTAAACAAAACCACTTCCTATATAAGGCGCCTTTACCTTACACGGCTACCTTGTAAGGTAACTTTTCTCTATTTTAGTTTAGATATACTTATGCCGTAAAATCAATAATAATTCGATAATAATTCTTCCACCTCCTTTCACTATTTTTCCCCTAACTCGAGAAGTATCGAATACACGAAAAAATTTTGTAATAAATAAATTATAGTTAATCGCATTTGCAACAATTTCAATCCTTACCGTGTTTCGTCCACTTCGTCCTTTCAGGATTCATCAGAGCGCCTTAGTAGAATAAGTATGATAATACGTATAAGCGTTGGTATAAGCAAATTAAAGCAGCACTATACGTGAAATCAAATATTAACTGTCTATCAAATACAAAAAAAAAAATCAGGAAAACAGAAAAAAAAATTCGAAGCAATTAGAGATTCTACAAATAGCACAAGAAAGAATATCCTTAAAATGATAAAGGAGATATATTTACAGTACCGTTACATGCAGCACAAAGGTATCAACACTTACAAAGAAAGAATATGAGAGAATAAACGCCACCAATATAATGTTTTGGGGATGAGCCTCCTAAAAACCACTATACATAGAATAATAAATAAACATATAAGGGATATCTAAACATGTGCCAATACAAGAATCCTGCATTGAAAAATAGAATGCAAACAACTTGTGTGGTATGGATTACTGAGAGTTTTAGACAAGGAGGAAGAACTTACGTTATCTGTAACTTTATTTGTGTTTATGTCAAAATATGTAATAACTTCATAATCAAACAGCTTGTCACGTTTATACCATAGCGTTTGTACCTTTAGCAAATATTTATTTTTAATCAATTTCTTTGTCGGAAAATTGTATGTCCTTGTTTACCAAAAGATTATCAAAACACCTTTCGTATTGCAATAAAAACCGTGCGGGTTTGCGACGATGTTTTATTCCTTCATAAAAA